AGACTCGTCTCGGTCTCGCATTTGGGCAACACTAGCTTTAACACATTGCACCCATATTTCTAAAAATTATTAGTGCAGTTCTTGATGTGGGTCAAAGTCAAAACTTTTATAATAAAATTTATCACGTCTCGATATGTTAACTTTTGAAACCAACTGAGTTTTAAAACCTTCCATTTTTTCAATAAGTTTCGTTAAAATTGTTGAAGAAAGCTAAGGATGAAAATTGAGATTGGTCACTCCTCCATGAAGTTTAGTTGAGTACCTCGTTCTCCAAAACTTTGAGATTTGATTTTTGAATGTTTTAGGTTCGATATTGAAGCTTCAAGTATCCACTTTTTAAATACTAGATGTATGGTAAAGCCATTCCTGACATATATCTGCGAGAACTAGATACTGACCAGTGTCCTAGGAGGAATAATTGAAATATTTAAGAGAAACATCCTCCATATAAAAATCGAAGCGATCTGAGATCAGAGTGACTAATGTATGTAAGATAAACATGAATAATTAACTGCTTAAAAAAATTGATCAATCAATATCTCATGATATGAAGGCAAGGTCTACAAATATACATGAAAACCTCAATAGTTGACAGACAACAGACCATACTAGAGGCCAAAATCCAGATCAATAAATATAATCATCAAAGATGCTGAATAGCTGCATGCAACAAACTGGAAAGTACTAGCCCAATAAAGAAATCTTTTAATTTAAAAGAAAGATTTAATTTACTAAAAATCATCTAACACTTGGACATTTTTTATGATAGATTAAAAAAAAAAATTATCTAAGGTATCCCATGATAAACTCTTAGCTGAATATTTCCGTTATTTCCTTTCCCACAAAATGAATTAAAAGGCCTTATCCGATATCTTAGCGGATTACACGTTGCAGAAAATCCACCTATTAATGAGTTTTTAATTTATTTCCACCATGTTTTAAGATCAAGAACAATTAAATAAGTGGTTTTCATTGATATCTTCAATAAAAAAGTCCTTCAAAATAAATTCAGCAAAAATGTCAGCGACGAGGTTAGCATGGAAGGCCATTGATACACAGTCGCTAATTCTTAAAAGTTACTTTGTAAATCTAACAACATATAAATCGATGTAAAGATTGTCCCGCGTAAGGTATGATCTTCATAAACGAAATAATTGGTTGTTTATACCTTTATTCGACGGTTTAGAGTTTGATTGCTTAAAACTAATCTGGTAGGATTCTTTTTTCTATACTGGTCTTTTTTCTAAACCAGCTTCTGCTCACCTATATTTTAAGTTTCTTCCAGGAAGGTTCAATTTTTGAGAAAACATGTCCGCCAGAAATACATAAGAAACAGCCTATTAGAAATATAATTTATTTTTTTATAAATAATTCTTTTAGACTCAAGTGATCCTAAAATACATATATGAAATGACAATTAATTTTTCTTTATTACTCACTACCGAAGGTGGGGTAGCTTTGCATTCGTCCAGGAAATTAAAAAAAAAAATTGTACACAGAATCGAAAATTTCCAATCGTTTTACGTTTCTGACATCTTGATTTTTATTTTTATTAGAGTTTATATATATATATATATATATATATATATATATATATATATATATTTCTTAACCCCATGTGATGTGGAGAATAGAGGATAGGCTTATGATTAAATATGGGATTTCTTTTTCAGCACTAAGTACTTTTTAAGAGAGGGATGGGAAACTTGGAGTACTGTTTATTTGTATTGTAGTTATGGCATGTCTTAGTTGAATGACCTGGCTCACTATTGTTCCGTAAATGTCAAATTCATTTTCTCACCCAAGTAATAGGTTTTTAATTTAGATCTGCCATCTCATAGGTTTGTGAGTAAGTGTTTTAAAAAGTGAATTTGTCGAGTATTTAAGGCTATCAAAGAATTCGATATGTCTGCGTGTAATTAAGTCGCCCACCTTCGGTAATTCGAGGGTGGTATCTAGTAGGTCCCTTCGTGTTTTTTTGTTTTTGTTTTTTTTGTGAAGTCGTGTATATTCCAATTTTTCTCAGCACACCGTTCTAAATCTGTTGGAGCTTCTTCGCTGTTGCCGATGATATGTTAGTTAGGATTGGTGATCCCTAAAGGAGAATTGTCTATCTAATAAATTTGTCGAAAATAAAATACGAGAACTCTATCGTGTATATACAAAATGGCTATCCTGCTCCCTAATGGAATTATAAATGTACAAAATATAAATATGCGAAACAAGTTTATTGTATCCTTTTAGGATGAAGGAGCAAACTTGGTTCCATAGTCTGTAGTCGAATTCATTTGACGGCCATATAACCTACTGCTATAAATCTGATTTTTATAAAAGTTTTAGGGTTTGTGCGAATGGGTACTAGTGTTGCCCAAAATCGGTCTTGGTCTTGCACTTTGTCTAATTGTTACAAGACCGAGGCTGTTAATAAAAAATTGTTTTTGTGAATAAAAATTAAAGCAAAATAGTTACTAATACTTGAAATTTTTATTTACATTATGTAAAGAATTGGTATAACAAATATACTTTTGTATCTAACTCTTGCAATTTTTCATTCGGGTTTAGTTTGGTTTTTCCAATCTGAAAAATTACAGTAATGTCTCTATAGCAATAAGCTAATAGGTAATAGCAAGCCTATTGCAAGACTTGCGCAAGACCAAGACCAAGAGCAGGACTGAGTGCACAAGACCCGTCTTGATCTCGCATTTGGGCAACATTAATGGGTGATCCTCTATAAATTTAATCAAATAACATCCGCTTCTGAATATGCAAATATATGATCGGCACCATGTTAAAGTAACATATGTTACATATTCGTTACTTTAAAATGGTGCCGACGGTATCATCAAAATGCGCCTATGTATCAAAAATGGCTGGTTCGATAAGATTGAATGTTTGAGGAAAATCAAGGATGGAAACAATGATCCAGTATCAATTTCATCAAATTCCATCTTCTTTTTTTGCCTTATGGATGTACAAACGTATCTTCTTCGATAGGTATATATTTCAAAAAAGGCTCATTCAATTTAGCCCAAAGATGGAGGGAATTTAATGAATACGGTTATTAAAATTATGGATGTGAAATGTGGTAGGCACTGAAAAAATGATAATGGAGGATTATTGCTTTTAATCTAAACGTGATTAATTATACGTGCTTTTATAGGAAAATAAAACTATTCTATTTAGTTTTAAATTAAAATTATATAAGAACATTTAGTTATAAACTGAAAACAAAAAACGAGAGAACGTAAGGAAGTGAAGACCAGAATGAACCTTGTACTTGGAGACAAGATTGGACACACACTATGCCACATGTACATCTAAGCTCATCTAAAATTGTCTATATTTTTTTATTTATAGATCCATCAACTATTCTAGATTTAAAACATTATATTTAGTGTTGTGTATTTCGGTCGGTATCTTTTCAATCAAGCGTTTGTGCTCAGGCATTTGATTGTATCAAATAATTATATACGGCACATTAAAAGATTACAACTAACAGTAAAAAGACTTGAAGGCCACCTCTGCGTTTTGGCTATTGTCACTGGATAGTTCTATAATTAAGTCCATTGTGAGTCGAGAATAAAAACATACACTTTTCTTATGGCTACGTAAAAAATAAATAAAATAAACTAACATTCATAAAATTATTATTCACTTCTTAAAACATAGTTTATTTAATAAATAAGTGGCTATAATCCAGAGTTTTCTCGCCACTAAAATGAAATCCATTCAGCCTCATGTTAATGACAAGAATAATTTTAATGTATCAAGCAATTTTGCCATAAAAAGACTTGAATTGACTGGTTCATTAGGAGAAAAAGTTTAGCATTTTTTTTTTCAACCGCTTAGATACAAACTTACCAAACCTACAATAACCAATTAATTACAATTTCTGCTTCATAGGTATTGTCAGTTTTGAAATGCAGTGATCATTAAGTTAGTGAGTGAAATTATTATACAAATTATAGGTATAATTTAAGGATAAAAAGTATTCTTCATAAGAAATAGTCAGATCCAATATTAATTTTTTACATAATTTGAAATTAAAGTTAATCCATAAAATTTTTTCTGATTTAAAATTTTACAATATAAGCAGAATAATATATTTAAAGGATGTCTAAATTATATTTTATAACTTTTTAAGAAAAAATGGTAATATTTTCAGTGATTTATATTTTTAAACAAAAAAAAATAAAAAAATGTTGACTTTTTTTTTTTGGATAGTATGAATTGTTATAATAGTATGAACTGCTACCAATGAATGCTACGTTATATAATATTTAATTTTTAAACCTATAAACGATTAAAAAACATTGTTTCCAATACTTTTGAAATATATTTATAAATATTAATTTAGTGAGTTTTAATTTCATGATAAATGTTTTGATCCGAAGGACTTATAATAACAGTTTAATAATTTAATCGCTCCTCCGGTGGATCAATGACATAACTGCAATTTTATATGAAATGTAAAATAATTATATTATTATAATATAAATGCAATAATTTTTAAAACGGATTGTACTAGAGTAAAATTCTTTTCCCCATTCAAATATCGCTTATATAAACCTTTCAGTTGACATAATGACTAACTCCAACTTCAACATTTATATTAATAATTATAGTAATATTTCTAGAGGGGAAAGTTATACCTTTATTCACATTTCTTTATTTCAACACTACAATCACCTAATTTGGAATCAACTTATTCACTGTTTGTACAGATATTATAAATTCCCCAACTAGAAATATCGCTAAAATGACTTTACTCAAACATTTTTAAATTGGAGTTAGTCATTCCATCAACTGAAAGAATCATATAATACTCTAACGTGAATTCAATTAATGACATCTTTCTGACAATTTAAGGCGTTAAAACATTTTTTTCAAAATTTTCGGTTGTCACTGTTGCATGAGAAGAGCATATAATAGCCTTTATATGATCCCAAATTCAGTTTTAGCTAATATTAGAAATACAGAAATCAGTATGATTTTCCTACCTTTGGCAAGGAACGGCCGGATGTGGTGGAGAGCAGAGATCAAACAGTCGATAAGATGTGGATCACTCCCTTTGCAGTGTTTAACATAAGGAGCTGAAAAATAAATAAATAAAAAATAAATATAAATATAGTGTTAAACATATATTAGAAGTATTATGTCAGAAATGTAATAAATATATATTTTTATAAACTATATTTATATTGTACTAGTAGGCCCGAGCGAAAAATTCGCACAGCATGTCGTAATCAAATGCCAAATTAATAAGAAAATAAAATAATGCAACGTATCAAAAGATAAAGGAATCAATTGTTACTTTATCAATAAATATAATCGACAAAGGAAAAAAAAATAATTTAAATCTTCATTATTGTTTGGAACCAACATATTCACAAATTTTAATAAGCTTTATCTTTGCGAAAAATTATCCGATGTCAATGATTTTTTTTTAGTTTTGTAGACAATTTAGTAATGTTTTATATAATCATGGGAATGACACAGGGAAAAGTGTGTAATTTTTCAATTATTCGCAAATAAAGTTTCTTTTCTTTCATAACTTGTTTGCCTGAAATTTCGGGGTGATAGGACTATTTTGCCCGCCTGAAGAAGAAGGAAGCCTTCGAAATTGGTGGCTCAATCTTGAGATTTGGTGAAAAATTAACGGTGATATGGCATGCCGATCAAAAACACCATCGATAAATAATATAAACTCCTCCTCTCTCGATCATAGAGACCTCAAGTCGACGAAATGAGACATGTATCCAATGACAGTACTACAATTAACGTCAGGTTGTGTGGATGCGAACCCCATGCCTTGCGTTATCTTGAAAATAGTACGTTTTTGGGCTTAAAAACGCAGGATCCGATAGTTCCAGAGGAACTATCCGGGTCTTGCTGTACGCATCAAAATCTTCAAGGTCCAATTTGTCCCGCATCGATCTACAGACCTACCACCGTTCCAGTATTGAAGCCTAGCAGAATATTTGTATCGACTTTATTTATTTTATAAAGAAAAACAAAAACGCGGAGAATAAGATTCGCTAATCCCCCGTGAAATTCTGAATCCTTCAATACCCCATTCATGGTATTTGAGCATGACAGGAGCTTATATTTGGTACAAAACCGATTTCGAGCCTTACTGTAATAATATATGTGGGGATGTGGGGATAGCCCATTAATCGTTTTGTTATGTCTTTGAGCACTGGGTGCAAGCAAAATGTTGATGTATAAGAAGAAGGAGCAGAAAAAGAAAAAAAAAATTTAAAAAATAAGGTTAATTGATATTGAATCGTTTGTAAACAATGATTGTATTTTAGTTGAAGATTGTTTATTGCCTTTCTGTTAATAGGGATGTTGAAAGAACCTGTAATTACCCTCTTGCTAATTCATTTTCTTCATAACGGGATAAGAATCCCTTTCGAAACTGTCGCAACATCACACCCCCGCCTCGTCTTGCACAAATTCCTTACCTAACCAGATGGAGATGCATTCGCAATGCAACATTACATAAAGTTCTGACCCGGTGACATTTGTTCCTATAAGATGAACTTGCAATTTTCGTAAAGCTGTTCCATTGTTATTCCGTCACTGATGAACTTGGAGGGTGTGTTGCAAGCGTTGCCAATCGGCGAACACCCGATGAATTAAACATCCCCTAGATGAAGCCTAGTTGGCAGTTCGTTTCTGAAGGTCGTCGATCGAGCCCGATGGTCCTCGAGAAGAAGATGGTACGGGTTACGTTCTGATGATATGGGTTATCTTATTCGTGTGGAAATTTATAAGCTGATCGAATTTAAAATATGATAAGCAATCATATATCAAGAAATTTTAACAACTAATAATTTTGTGTTTGTTAATGTCAAACAGACCTCTATGCAGTGTTTAGTTATTTTTTGTACTCTGTGTTGGAGTATAACTGTATAACATGTAGTAACTACCTCTCAAAGGTAATTGTGAAGAAAAAAATATGGAGAAGCAATTTGGGAATCATAACTTGGAATGTTTTAATAAATCACGTATTAATTTTATGATTTCTTAAAATTCATCCAAATGCAGCATAACTCAAAAATAAATCAAATAAAAACTCCAATTTGATGACAATTTGTGAATGGAATACTTAAACAAAATTCTGGTGAGCGCAATACATCATTTGCCGCTTAATTTGAATAGAAATTATTTTCTGGCATTGTTGGGCTATTATAAATTTTTTGAAGTGCATTTCAAACGGACGTAAAACTTAAAGCTTACAGATAACAAATCATTAAGACCATTACAATTACAAAAAGTCTATTTATTATATCGATGGTAGGCATTAATGATATAGTTACTCCATATGATTTTATAAACCAGTCTCTGAGCCTTTCAGTTGACAGAATGACTAACTCAAATTTCAACATGTTTAAGTAATGGCATTTTAGTGATATTTCTAGTTGGAAAAGTTATGTCTATACAGACAGTGAGTAAGTTGAATCAGAGTAGGTGATTGCGGTGTTGAAATAAGGAACTGTGAATAAAGGCATTTTGCAACTAGAAACATCACTAAAATTAATAATAAACAATGTTGAAATTGGAGTTAGCCATTCTGTCAACCGAAATGTCTAGAGAGATTTGAAAGTATTATATATCTAAATATTTAACTTATAAATGATTATGGATTGTAGAACTATTAGTTATTAAACTGTTATTTTCCATTGTAAAGTTTACTAAAATGAAATTACGAGATTTTCATTGCCAACCATGGATAGGTCAAAAGTTGTCACACTAATTGGATAATGTTGGGATTTCACGAAGAGAAAATTCATCAAATTATTCGCTAATTTAATTTTCTAAACGTAACTTGATGATGTTTTGGAATAAACGGTCAACGGATACCTAATTATTTAAATATAATATCATATCTACGGTCATTAATCTACAATAAATGTATTTAATGTTATAAACATATCCATGAAATATTTGTATATTTCTTTACTTCATTCGCACAATTACACTGAAATAGTATTTTAAACACTGGCATTGGCTTGATTCGGTGGATTTTAAATACTTTTTTATCAAAATTAGAAAAAAAATAGAAAAATTTACTTTTAGTAAGAAAATTCAATTTCCTTGGAAACATGTGGTTTATCTTAAATGATGTTTGTATTCTTAAATTATTATTTATATGTTTTTTTCACTCTCCGTTACCTTCTTTAATTTTCTTTATTTGATATTATTTTTCTAAAATTCTCGGCCTTCCAACGATATATTGCGTTTGTATACATTTCGACTGTTATTTCCGGAGATTCATTTTCAACGTGGATAAGCATTTTTCTTTCTTTTTTTTCCTCCTGTTTCCAATTATCATATTCTTTCAAACTTGATATTACCGACCACTTAATTATACAATGATACACCGAGTTTAATCAAAATCGTTGGAGCCGTTTTTGAGAAAATTGTAAAAATGTGTTTCACCGCTAAAGAGGCACGTTAGCCGATTTTAAGGGAAAAGTTACTAGGACATCTAAGGCATATACCTATCTTTAATCCGTAATATCAGTTTCGTCCGACTTTTCGTTTTTGATCTAGACTGTTCACATACACACACACACACGCATATACCATTTTTCGGGACTTGGTTATTTGGACTGAAGGACCTCAAAAATGTATTTTCTTTGAAAACTCGGATTTGAAAATTTTCATGATCGCAATAGTTTCCCGTACTATATATTACATATATAGGTAAATGAAAGCAATAAGTAGCACAAAAATGTATACGACATATTGTTATTCTATACTATGCCGATGAATAGCACTATTTCTCCATTGCAGTTGGTAATTTTTTTTATTTAACAAACAAACATTTAATCGAGGTAAAAAAGAATATTTTGTGAGTTTGCGCAGATTGTTTTTTACATGTTTTATTCTGGCGTTTTATATGGAATATATTTCATGTATGAACATGTACAGGGCTTTAAGGAGAAGAATGCAGGCGAGTTTCATTAAAAAATTTAAACCCATTTTGGTGCTATTGCTTTAGAAAAAATGTGGTTTCGGCTGTTACGCAGCCGCTATTGTTCAATAAGGTGTAAAGTAAGTAAGTATTGAGAGCCAAAACCCGTACAAATAAATATAGAAGGCACAACCAATTCACCTTTTCAAGGTCATAATCGTGGTAGACACAAACAACCAGATCGAAGGGGGCGAGTGGCCGTGCGGGCTAACGCGTGTACAAAACAACTACTTGATGAACTGAAGTTTATTTGTTTTAAATTATCACGCATCCATGAGTTCGCGTCCATATGCCGTAAATAGTAAAAAACAAATATATTTTTTTTTTTACAGGAAGAGAATGAGGAAGAAAAAAGAAGACAGAATACAAAAAATTACCTAAATTTTATAAAACATCAATTTAAAAATTGTAACATATAAATTTGTAAAAGAACATTATACAAGTTCTTAAACATCATTAGTTAGAAATTCTAAAGGCGTTGTAATCCAGCAATTTTAGCCTTAAAACCCAGACCCTGCCTTACTCATAACCTGACACCGGTATAGCAATGGAGCCAGGGCCCAAAAATCGACCTGATCGCAGGCGAAGGTTTGATTGTAAATTACGAAAGTTTATGTTATTCTGAGTAAGAAAAACCTAGTCTGTCGTTCCGGAGCCGCTGCTTTCAAAAATGGCGGCTGATTTAAAGAATATTAGGGCAATAATTTGAGGATCGAAACGGGAAATCCATTGCGAAAAATGTGAGAAAAGTTTCTATTTTTTTAAATTGTATATATGGGTTTAGAAATGTAAAAAACAAAATTGCTAACGCAGGCCACCAAGGGAAAACTTTTTACAGCCAAAAAAGTCAGATTTTTTCGATATTTTTTGCGTTTTTCATCTATAACTCCTAAACAATGCATCAAAGCGAAAAATGTGTTCTTTAATAAATTAAAAAGCGTTAAATTTTTTAACCGCAATACTCCTCCTTACTATATATTACATATATGGGTAAGAGAAAGTAAAAATCACATAAGTTTTTACACAACTTGAGATGAATTTCCTAATAAATCTCAACTTAATTAATAAACACTTAAAGCTTATTAAATGAAGAAGTTTTTTTTTATA